ACTTGCTGAGGAGTACCCAGCTGCAATCTGGCTCGAAGCTGGATCAAATTCTACAATTACTACAATGATCGGCCGGGCACTAGGAAATTCAAGTTCTCCACACCATTTCCAGGGTGTTCACATCACCAGCGAAGAATCACTCCCATCTTTGGCTAAAGCGACGACAAATCTGTGGAAGGAAGGCTTGAATGTGTCATTTTGGGCACATCATTCCACAGAGGTATCTCATTACACAGTTGTGATGCTCCCTCCTTACCAGTTCGAAAAGGCAAGACATTGGATGGACTTGAAGGAGGTTCCTGAAGTCAAAGCCTCCATCGACGCAACTGTACAACCTCCAGAGCCCCCCAAGGGCCTAACAACATTCATCGGATTTGAAGACCAGACAAAGCAGTCTGCCCGATTCCGAGTGAACACAACCTGCGACAAATTCCAGCAGCTGACATTGGCGAATGTGGCTCTGAACACCACCGCTGTAACGCCCGGCATGCTTCAGATTGAAATTTCCCTCGATGCGATAATGAATCTGCAACCTGACTTCAAGGCGTACCAGTTCCAACCGGAGGTCCAGGGAGTTTCTTATCACAACGCCCTTGTTGACTCCGATTCTACGGACTTGTATCTTGATGTTGTTGCAAAAGATGACGGAGGCCTGGCCTGGAGATGGAGACTTTACGGCACTGACTCTGGGGGTAGAGTAACTGACTTCAGCTCTGGAAACATTGTTTTCTTGCCAGCCAGTGATCCTGCACTCAAGGAGAACTTCGAGCGCTTGTCGCGTCTGAGTGGCAAGAAACGGTGTACTAGTCTTCTCCAAGGAAACAGTGCAGACGACGTGCTTCAGGGCCGAAATATCTATCGAGCGTTCGAGCAAGTGGTCAACTATGCGGAGCCATTCCGGTGTGTAACCAAGATAGTTGGAAAGGAGGATGAATCAGCAGGCTATGTCTCAAAGGAATATGCTGGGGAGACCTGGATGGATCCGGTTTTGACGGAGTGTTTCTGTCAGGTCGCCGGCATTTTCATTAATCTCATGACAGATGCATCTGATCTGTCTAAAAGAGGCGTGTACATCTGTGACGGTATTTCCAGATGGATGCATTACCCCAGACTGGGTAGCATGACTTCGCCTCCTGATGCTTGGGAAGTATTTGCGGTGCATCACCAAGAGTCTGAGACTAAGTACGTCAGTGACGTCTTCGCTTTCGACCCTCGTGATGGATCCTTGGTCGAGGCGATCCTAGGAATTTCTTATCGGATTGTACCCATGGATTCAATGCGCAAGCTGTTGACTCGGGGCGCTCAGCAAGAATCTCACTTTTCCACGGCTGCTGTCTCATCAAAATCCACCCCTGTCTACGATCCCACTCCTACGACGACGGTTAGCTCCACTCCCTCTAGCCTGAATTTCCAAGAGAAAGCTATCGTGAAAAATGTCGCAAAGCCCCCTGGACCAGACATCTCTGCAAAGATGTGTGAGATCGTCTGTAATCTTTCCGGATTGGAGCCGGAGGAGATAGAAGATGACTCTGATCTTATTGAACTCGGGATCGATTCTCTTATGGCCATGGAGCTGGTCCGAGAAGTCGATTCTGCATTCAAGTGCACTCTTCAAAATGATCAGCTTATGGACCTGACTGACTTTGCCAGTCTGGTCTCGTGTATCCGGTCTACCCTAGGATTTGACGATGAGGAAAGCGGCGTCGGGTTTGAAGGAGACTCTTCGGTCGACACAGAAGCATACATACTTTTGGAACCGAATGAGCCCACCACAAATATCAATGGCGCCAATGGTATCATCAGCTTTGATCATAGAGATGGCAACGCTATTCTGTCTATGTCAACACTTCTCGATGCGTTCCGTGAGATCAAATGGGACACTGATGATGACATTGTCAAGGGCCAACTGGGAACCTACTCCAAGCATGTCATGCCGCGGTCTACGGAGCTCTGCATCGTGTATATTGTGAATGCTTTCGAACAACTCGGTTGCCCAATACGGTCTGCAGCACCAGGTCAAGTGCTTACACGCGTGCCATACCATCCCAAGCACGAGAAGTTTATGAACATGATCATCTATGGGTTATTGGAAAAGGACGCTCGTTTGATAGATATCAACGGCTCTACTATCACACGCACGGCGGTTGCGCCGCCCACCGCATCTGCGGACACATTACTCAACAAGCTGTTGCACGATGAACCTGTTCATGCCGCTGAGCATAAGCTCGCAGCATTGGTGGGTCAGAAATTTGCAGATCTGATCATGGATAAAGAAGATGGCCTGAAGCTCATCTTTGGTAATCCCGAAAGCCGAGAAATTGCTGCAGATATGTATTCGAACTCCCCTGTCAACACAGTTTGGATCAAACAGCTTGAGCGATTCTTCGAGCGGGTTCTTGGTCGACTTCCCAAAGATGGACAGCCCATCTGTATTCTCGAGGTTGGCGGGGGCACTGGCGGGACAACAAGCAGAATCGTGCCATTGCTCGCCAAGTTAGGAGTCCCCGTGAAATACACCATGACAGACATCTCAGGGTCGCTCATTGCGGCTGCTCGCAAACGTTTCAAGAAGTACCCATTCATGGATTTTAAACCTCTGAACATGGAAAATGAGCCGGATGCCAAATTCTTGCAGAGCCAGCATATCATTTTGGCCACCAATTGTATCCATGCAACACGGAATCTTTCTGTATCATTGAAGAATCTTCATCGCATCTTGCGACCTGATGGTGCTCTCATTATGTTAGAGATGACGGAGCAAGTGCCGTGGTGCGATTTCATCTTCGGATTGTTGGAAGGATGGTGGCTATTTGAGGACGGGCGGGACTACGTCCTCCAGCCAGCCAACTACTGGGAGAAGGTACTACATTCAGTGGGATACGGCCATGTCGACTGGACTGAAGGAGAACTTCCCGAGGCTCGCATTCAGCGTTTGATTATCGCCCATGCATCTGGATCCAGGTATGATCGCGGACCAAAGCCTCCTCTGGCATCCATCCCTGAACTCACGTTACCAGACATCTCTGAGCGCCAAGCGAGGATTGACGCCACTGTTCACAAATACACAAAAGACTTCGTTGCTCCATCACACATTGGATCCCCTACCAAGTTGCCATCCTTGAGTTCTGGGCAGTGTGTGCTCGTTACCGGTGCTACTGGAAGCCTGGGTGCCCACATCGTGGCCTTCTTGGCACAACGTCCAGATATCCATACAGTTGTATGCCTCAATCGACTGAGCACAACCGAGGCGACAGTGCGACAGCAGAACTCTCTTCAAATGAGAGGTATCTCACTCGACCCGACGTTGCTGTGTAAGCTAAAGGTGATTGAAACGGACACAAGCAAGCCCAATTTGGGACTCTCGCCCGAAAACCACCAATATTTGATCCAAAACGTGACAGAAATCGTCCATAGCGCTTGGCCAATGAGCCTGACACGCCCGATGCGGGCCTACGAACCTCAATTCAAGATCGCGCGGAATCTCATCGATCTCGCATGCGAAGTCACCCTGCACCGACCAGCCCCATTCAAATTCGGCTTCCAATTCATCTCCTCCAGCGCCGTGATCGCAAACTACCCTCTGTGGGCAGGAACACCACTCGTTCCCGAGCAACCTGGTACAGTCGAATCCGTGCCTTTGACGGGGTATGCCGAAGCCAAACTTGCAACGGAACGTATTCTGGCGGAGACATTATATTGTTTCCCAGAACGGTTTCATGTGATGGCGGTACGAATCGCGCAGATTACCGGCTCGACTAGCAATGGCTACTGGAACCCCTCTGAGTACATGCCGTTCCTGATCAAGTCGTCACAGGTGCTCAAGATTCTTCCCGATCTCGATGGAACACTCTCCTGGTACCCTGTGAACGATGTCGCTGCTGTCCTAGGCGAGCTACTCCTGTCTCAATCTACTTCGGATCTTATCTATCATATTGACAATCCGTCCCGGCAGAAGTGGCGGGAGATGATTGCGATCTTGGCTCGCGCGTTAGATCTTGAACAAAAGAGTATTGTTCCGTTTACTGAATGGGTGAATCGGGTGCGAGGTTTCCGGGGGAGCATTACGGATAATCCTGCGTTGCAGTTGATTGATTTCTTTGAACATTATTTCGTTCCGATGTCTTGTGGTGGTTTGGTTCTGGATACCACCAAGTCTTCGCAACATTCCAAGACGCTGCAGAATCAGGGTCCTATTGATGAGAATCTTATGATGAAGTATATTGCCAGGTGGAAAGAATCGGGATTTCTGAACCCATAATGGGTTGTTAAGTGGCGTTGGGGAGCATCGACTTGTTTGATTAATGTATCTCGTTCAAATGGCTGGCTTTTATTATTTGCCGAGTGTCGCTTCTTGAGATATTCACCTACATAATGATTTGAGTCGCAAATTGACACTCTTGCAAGGTATGGGTGGTATGTTGGTTTCACTTCTGAGATTGTATGGTTAATTCATTCACCATGGCTGGCTTGTTTCTCGGTATTATTCATCAGTGTTAACCTTCCAAGATTGAAAGTCTTTACAGACTTTTTTCACTGTTCTTATTATATACTGAGTAATAATTCAATCGAGGCACTTTTTACTCCGAGTGATTGACTAGCTCAATTGCGAAAGACTTGCATAAAATTCTCCAGATAGGCGGCAACAATGCACATAGTAGATACTTTGTGCAACAGGATTTATCACCGTAAAAGTGTACTAGATCCCGGAGGCAGATGAATATGTACTGGATAATTCCTGGCACTCGAGACCGCTCACCTCTTACCCTGTTGATCTCCGAGTCCAATGAGCCCCTGAACAGACCTACTCACAGACCATTAGATCAGCTGATTAAGGATCCATGGATCATCTGACCATCACATAAACAATCTAGAGGTCTAATGTAGAGATAGTTTGAGTTGGTCCACGCGCGTATATTTCTATATAGCAGCTGATCAGAAAATCCAAGACTTAATCTCAAGCATACTACATCATACACAAGCAGCTCAGATCCCACTCCAGCCTAAGACGAAGTGGCCTTGGCACCAGCCAGCGCACTAACAGGGGTTGCACCAGGGTAGAAAGAAGTCGGGATAGCAGGGATAGGAATAGGCGACGCGGTACCAAATGCCGTCGCCAGATCAGAAGCCATGGTTGCAGCAGAGTATCCAGAAGGAGCGGACTTGACAGTCTGAGTAGTCGTATACGAAGTATGCTCATCACCATCCTTCAGACACGCGCCGGAGCCATATGCACTCTCACAGTTGTACCACTGGTAAGAGCCGGACTCAGTCCACATGGCGAAATCCTCGATGGTGATGTCTGTGCAGGGTGCGCCATCCGCACACTTCACTTTGATGGGGCCACGCTGGGCGCCGTTTGATTCGGTTCCTTTCCAGTTTCTAATCGTGACGTTGGTGAGTTGGACACCATCGCCGGATACCTTGCTCATGCTACTCCAGGCGCTGTCGATGTCGAGGGAGTAGGCGTTTCCGTGGCCTGATTGGTTAGTGGAAGTGGTAGGGAGATAGGTGGTGAATGGTGTGGTGCTTACCGATGAAGTTCTCGAGGATGAGGTTCTCAACATTACCGCTGCCTCCGTTGCTCTTGACCATGTACATCTGGTTTGAGTTCCAGGTGTAGACGTTGCGGTAGGTGATGTCACTGATCTCGACGTCGGTGCCGAGTGATCCCATGGCACAACCACCACTCCAGTTGCAGTAGATGTTTTCGACGAGGATGTTCTTGGCGGGACTCTGTCTTATTGTTAGCGATGCTCTGTTTTCGGGGGTTCTTCAAAGCCATATACCTTGACAGTAACACACTCATCCTTGTTGGTGACCTCGACCTATTTGGCGTTAGCAACTACCCTCCACAACGGTAGAACAAGCAACTGACATCGTGAATCCAAATATTAGTCGACCAAACATCAAGTCCATCCAAGCCACCCTTGTCACCACCACGAATAGCAAGGTTATAAACCTCACCATTCTCACAAGTATCCAAAGAGAAATGGAAAGCAGGTGCATCAACAAGAGCAAGATCATGAACCGAAAAATCGGTCACATCATACAGTCTCAGAATTCGCGCTCCACTGCTCGATCCCTCCTTATGGTACTCATATCCATACCCCTGCACAGCACCCTCAGAGGTAGAACTAAACAGTTCAAAGTCTGTGGTATGCTTGACCATGATCATGTTTCCGCCATCGGTACCAGTCCGATAGAGAATACCGTCCAACTGGATAGCACAGCTTTTTCCACCTGACAGAGTCACCCAGGACTTGAAGGCGTAGTCGCCAGACGGGATGTAGACCACTCCACCGTCCCTGCAGTCCGCCCAGGCAGAGGTGATGGCTGCGCCGACATCGGTCGATTTGTCTGCTACAGCGCCGTAGTCCAGTACATTGCAGATTTTGTTGGCAGATTTAGTGGAGACGGTGGTTGTTGGGCCGACCGAACCGCTGAGGTAGGCGTTTGCAAGCAATGGCGCCAGGCCGATTGCGATTGCTGAAGGAAAGTACATATTGAAACAAATGAATTATAAAATAAAGGAATGGAAGAGAAAAAAAAATGAAAGGAAGGGTTGAGGGGAATACAAATTGACATCGGATTCTGACTATATATATACAACCCCTGAGTGTAGACGATATCGCGGACAGCCTTACATTATTGAGCTGTTCTTCCGAAACCCCAACCAAGCCGTCATGGGGTTGACACATAGTGAGGATATGCGGGAGCGTATAAAAAGCCATGGTTGAAGCTTGGGTGGAGGCTTTCAAGGCGAATGAAGGTAGAAGGTTTTGCACTAAGTGATCTGAAACGTATAATCTTGATTAAAATGTTGGCGCTAACGACCATTCTCAAACACTCTATTTCCACTTTCCGTCTAGCATCTATAGAATTTTCATCCCGTATTTTTTGTGACTATAATAAGCAGCCCCTGATTCCACCAGGTGTGGACTTATGAATTTCAAGAATTACTATGTTCAGAAGGTATATAGTATATAGACAATGTTGCTCGGCTAGAGACTTCAACCGTAAAGCTTTGGTGATCTTGTTTCTAAGCACTACAGAGTACCTAGATACTTAGGTAGTCTCTCCTCTTCGGTTCGTGTATAAATAGACATAGGGTCGATGGTTCCGATGGTTCCACGGTTGACGCGTCCTTCCGGAGTATCTCGATTTTCTTGCCCCGGCCAAAGCCGTAATAGCGCAGTTGATCGTTGGCAATTAGGTCCAAGTCATTCAACCTATCAATCGCTGAATGTCACAGATAAAGTATGAATGTGACAAAGAGTACGGAGTAGTCTTCATTCGTACAAGCTAGAGCATACTTGACAGGTGCAAAGCGGTCGCGTAAGGCGGTGACACTGAGAAGCTCCACTGCGCAAAAGTGTTAACATCTCAAATTTTGCCAGTTAAACATGACCAATAAGAAGATAAGAAGTGATAACGTATTTCCCAGGCGAGCTGCGCAGTCCGGAACACATAGTAAATGCGATAAATTACAACTTGATATCTTAACAACGGTGGTCTATAAGAACCTTTCCTTATATTATAATGTTCTTTATGTGATCTCTAGGCTCTTTAGGGAGTTTTAAGAATTTTCAAATTTTATTAATTAAGATATATATATTTCTAGCTTATAGTCACGTAATTTGAGGTAATTTTTGAAATGATAATAATATAGTTTGTCGGTTTCCTTAAAATTAATATAGACTACTAATAAGCCTTATCAATAGCTATCGATAAGTAATGAGATAAGTTAAACACGTTGTTGTTGAGATATAAATGTAGGATATATCGCATTTACTATGTGTTCCGGACTGCGCAGCTCGCCCGGGTGCGCAGCTCGGTATGGTTAATTAGTAAGGCGGTGGTAACGTATTTCACATACGAGCCGGCCAACAAGCGAGCCGGCCACCCCAAAACACCATCAACTTGATATCTCAACAATAGTGGCCTATATAGAGATTTCCTTATAGCCTAATACTTTTTAGGTAGATTCTAGCCTCTCTAGGGAGTTTAGGAAATATATATGACTTTGTGATTGCGATATATATATTTCTACTTTTTAGTAACGTAATTTTCGGTAATTTTTGAAATAATGATAATATAGCCTCCTAATTCCTTTAAGATTGATATATAGTGCTAATATATCTTATCAATAACTATCGACAAATAAGGAGATAAAATAAAAAGTTGGTTGTTGAGATATAAATGTAGAATATATCGCATTTACTATGATGTTTTGGGGTGGCCGGCTCGCTTGTGTGGCCGGCTCGTATGTGAAATACGTTAGAGCCTGGGAGGTGTTCACAGTGTCTCTCCTAAGCACAAACTTCGGGCTCTGTTCTCATTTTCGACTTTAATTTTTGGAACCTTTTCACAGATATAGCTATTCCTCTCTTTTATGATTCTACTTCTATTGTGGTTTTGTCCTATGATTTGTACAATAACACCGAGGGGCTTGGTTGAGGTTACAAGAATGGTGGCTTATAAAAGACCTTGCTTGATATCATATTTCCACTCATCCAAAGCAACCAAAGACAACAGGCTACACTTCTAGGCAGCTACTTTATATACAAGGAAGTGATGGTGATCATCGGAATGATCTGAGCCTAGTCAGGAAATTCGAGCGTACTCCCGACGTCATAATCGAATTTCTCTCTATAACCTCCAGCCCTAAGTTTGTTAAGATCACTTCTGGGGATTCAAATACAGCAATGAACTACAACGTCAAGAGACAGGTGTAATATTAGACTACATGTACTCCACGGTCCCGTCTTGCAGTCCACTCGTTTCGGGACTATAATTAGGGTCTGTTTCAAGATATCTATGGATATACTATATAGTAGTAGAGCACCTGTGGATGAGTCGCAGGGTTTTTTTTTTCTTTCCTCTCTCGCCACAGGGATAGTATTTCTAAAAATATGCCGAACAGACAAGCTTAATAGGGCAAAATAAGCATAATCCAAAATGGGCCGGGGGGGATGCCCCACATCAGGGCGTATTCGTTCAGAAATTCCCCGATTGGGAACCTAGGAACAGCCCTAGAGGCAACAGATTAGAACTTTATAAGTCCCTAAATCCCAACTTTTTCCTTAGAATGAATACACTACACTAGTATTCGCATCGTTAATATGGACATTGTTTTTCACCCCGGCCAAAATGGCACTGATCCTTGGGTAGAGTTCTATCCGTACACGCCATCTGCCACGGCTGGGTATGCATTTATGGGGATCTTTGCAGTTTCAACCCTTGCCCATATCGTGTTGATGTTCCCCTTCCGTGCTGCCTATTTTATCCCATTGGTACTAGGAGGAATTTGTATGATGATACTCCCCATCCATAAAAGAGGAAAAACATTTGAGCTAACGATGAACGAAACCAGGCGAGACATTCGGCTACTACGGCCGAGCATGGTCACACGAGTCTCGATTCGAGATCAAATCATGGGCCTTGCAGGAGATGCTCATTCTATGCGCACCACCTCTTGTGGCAGCTACCGTCTACATGGTCCTCGGCCGCATTATCCGCTCCTTCGGCGCCGAACATCTTTCAAGCATGCGCCCTAAATGGCTTACCTTTGTCTTCGTCATGAACGATGTGCTCTGTTTCTGTACACAGTTGGGGGGTGCGGGTGTCCAAGTGACTGGGGATGAGAAGGTGATGAACATTGGCAAAAAGGTCGTTTTGGCTGGCTTGATCTTCTCCTTGGTTGTCTTTGCCTTTTTCATTCTGATTGCGGCCAAATTCCACCGACGTCTCTTGCAAACACCCACGACCTTTCTCAATCAGAACCCCGATCTACCCTGGCAGCGATATATGTGGGCAATCTACATTTCTTGCTTTGCATTGATGGTTCGCAACCTGGTACGGACTATTCAATTTGGAGCCGGTCAAAAAACCGCTGTCAATACGAAGGAGGTCTATATCTATGTGTTTGATGCATTTTTGATGTTTTTTACCATGTTGGTATTGATCATCTATCATCCGGGTAGGCTTATCAAGAAGGCTCATCGCCTGACCAAGACTGGTACGGGAGATGGGCATCCTGATGTACCTTTAAATGGGCCTGGAATGGCCCAGAGGCTTGCCTAGTGATTATGCTTGAGTGATGACAAATGTGTATATTGAGTTTTCCTTTTTTTCTTGAGAATAGAAATTATTTATATTGGCTGGTATCCGCAAGAAGTAACAGTGATGGTATATCCACGAGATGCTTTGAGGTTCTGAAGCTCAAGTGCAAAATGTCCATGGTACCTCCCTTAGGTACTCAGCCCTTTAGAGACGTCCACCGATCATCTTATCTTCTATACTCTCCTCTCTATTCTGAGCACTCTTAACACTCTTAATACTCTTAACAACACTCTTAATACTCTTAACAACACTCTTAATACTCCTAATACTCTTGACAACACAACAATTTTATTTTCTCTCTTTGGCTCCTACGCTCGAAATCCTTTCAGCGAAAATTCTATCTTTCTCTCGCACTCGCTCACTCTATTTCGCTTTCAACACTGTTCATCCTCCCCCACGACAACATGCCCATCACTCTCACCACAGCCAAGCATCTACCGCATGCATGGAAATTCCCGAGGGCAGCCGAGGTCGAAGAGCTTTTCGAACAATCCTATCCAAAGGAGCTTATCGGTAGCAAAAGGCTGATTGGAAAGTCATTCACTAAAGATCTCTTCGACACATCTCACACCTCTGCGTCCAAAAATGGCTTTGCCTGGGCGGGGTTCTACGCCTATAGTCATCACCGTAATCGTGCTCCGATCCGAAGATGTGTGGTTCACTATTCTGACACAGCTCAGTTGCTTCGTTATTGCACATTCCGAGGAACTGCTACATCTATTCGTCTCGCATAAGGGTACAGTACACCTAGAAGTTTCCACAAACGAGACCATAGACTCTGTGGGAAAAACGTATTGTGAACCCGGACCTGCAGAACTGGATTATGCCGGCCTTTAGTACTACGACTGCGACTGACAAAGTGGTAGCAGCGATTATAATGATGGGCTCTATGCAGAAGTATTTCTCCTACGAATTTGGTTTAAGGTGTGGAACTCCGTCTGTCGCTTTGCTCGGTTTGCTCCGCTTCTTCGGCCGGTTCTTAACAACTTCGTCGCTTCCTTCGACAACCCTGAATCACCGGATACACTGAGTTTCTGGAGCAAAGGTGCCGACAGGAGAGGCGGAGCAAGTGGACCAACCTATCTGACTGGCTGGATATCTGTCTTTTGTTTTTAGGGTAATGATGGAAAGCTGCTGTACCCAGAAGCAATTCTTCCAGAGGAACACTGAGTTCGAACTTGACCAGGCTTTGTCACGCCGTATAGACACGAATAATGTCCCTCTAGGCTATGTCTCCGTGCCGGTTACAGTTGATTATATTAGGAATAAATTCGACCCTGTGATGTTGGCCGGGCTGATTGGCATACAAGCCACCTCCAGTGGAGCAATGCTAGATGGTTTTAAAGGCCATAGTTATGAGCTAAAGCTTGTATACTTCGTGAACAATTACTCTCAGGTGATGCCCTATAAGCCAGTCATTCCCACGTTTTTTCGTGTCACAAAGCATTCCTTCGCATTGTCCTCGATTACCTCGAGAGTCAGAAGCAAGCCACATCGCGTTGAGAGAAAAAGGAAATGCAAGTAATCAGGGAGACAAGTAGAAGGAGCGGGTTTGCTGGCAAACGCTACCATATAACTGTGTTATAAGTATGCAACGATGCAACTATGCAACTACACAAAAATTCTATGAAACACAACCTTCAAACTAATCATACAATTCATTTCAATTCCTAGAATAATCCGTCCGTCCCAGTTTCGCCTATTCCCAATGATACAAGCCCAAGCCCAGAATTCAGAGCAGCACTGGTGTAAAGAGCCAGTGCATATCAAGTTCAAATAAATGATGAACATCATTTTCAACAAGCCAAAATAAAAAATAAAAGAGCACACATGCGGTATAAGTCAACAAATGGGGTAGGCGTAGGTGTAGGCGTAGGTGTAGGTGTAGGTGTAGGGGTAGGGGTAGGCGTAGGGGTAGGCGTAGTTGTAGCACGAGAAGCCGAGTCAACGGTGAAGAACAAAGTGTAAAAAATAAATCAGCATAAGGGTTGGTGTAAGTATGTACAGAGGAACGTAAAGTGAGGGGAAAATGGATTCGCAAAGGTATTGCAGGGGAGAAGAAAGGGGGCATGTTGAGCAATCGTCTAGCTGGTCGCGGTCTGGGCTGCCGGAGCGTGCGGGCTCTTGCTGGAACCTTGAACGGCGCCAGCTTGGGAACTGCCGCTGCGTTGGTTTTGAGGAGTGGCGCTGCGACTAGGCAGGGGTGCAGCACCGTTCATGGCAGGCGAACTAGTCGGGCCAACGCGATTTTGCTGACCGGCCTGGGGGACCCGCATCATTGGGGAGAACCCTTGATTCTGAGGGACCTGCATTCCAGAACCGCCGTTCGGAGTCTGGAAACTAGCCTCGTGGGGAACTTGGTAGTTAGCCTGAACGGCATTTGCATTAATGCTACCTGCTGCAGCATTCATCGCTGCTTGTTGGGACAAGCGCTGTTGTTGCTGCTGCTGATACTGGTTGAGTCGATCCGTGGCCAGCTTGGTCACTTGCTCGGGGGACATATTCGGGTTCGTGCGTTGAATCTGGCTTTGGAGGGTGCTGATTTGGGGCACAACACCGCTGGAAAGAGGATTAGGTTGGCCCATACGAGGCGAGGGGGTCGAGACGCCTTGTGGTGTACTACCGTGGAACGACGGACTCTGCATTCCCCCTTGGTTCTGGAGGGCAGCCATCATAGCAGGGTTATTAGGAGTACCATTAACATTCGCCATGTTCAGGTTCGGCGACCCCTGGGACGCAAACTGCGGGTTGTGGAATTGCTGACCCTGCTGAGGGGGGTGCGGCTGCTGTTGCCGAGACTGGAGAAGACGCTGCTGCTCCTGCAATCGATTGGCTTCTCTAATCACACGTGTGTTATCAGGGGAGGCTTGCATTGGCAGGCCCGGTCGTGCCCCTGGTGTCTGCTGCATTTGAGCTTGCGGCATCATCTTCATGGCCATTCCATTAGGCATCTGGCCATTGGGCTGTGCACCATTAGGCATGTTCTGCATCGGAAGCGGGCGGGCTTGATTAACACCAGCACTAGGAGGCATGCCGTTGGTCATTCCGTTCGGAGTTCCACCTGGTAGGCTAGGATTGGAAGTGGGGGGCATGGTGTTGTTACGCCCCGGCGCATTCATCATTTGTTGCTGGTTAGGTACTTGGCCGGAACGCTGCGCTGCGAGACTAGCCTATATGGGGGATAAGCCAGTGCTGTCAAGTAGGGACGTTAACAACCACTCACCCTTTGCTGCGCAATCATTTGCTGGCGGTACTGTTCCTGCCTTTCCTGTAGCTTCATCTCTCTGTCGTACTTCAACCGGCTGAACTCGGCTGGGGACGAGATCGGAGGCTTGGGCTGGTTAGCCTCATTGGCCTTTCGCAGTGAAGCAAGGTGGGAAGCTAAGAAATGAAATGTCAGTGGAGTTCTTGGCACAGAGTGTTGCTGCTATTCCAAACATACCATGCTGCTGTTTCTGAAGCATAGTTTCCCGCTTCTTGGCCAGCTTTCGCATGGCATCAAGCAGAGCAAGATGCTTCGAAGATCGTCTCCGGTCAACCCGAAGAGGCTGAGTAGTCCTCCGGCGGACAGGCGGCTGAGGCTGAGCATTGGCGCCTTGTTGCTGCTGCTGTTGTTGCTGCTGTTGCTGGGCAGCCTGCTGCTGGGCCAAAACAGTGCGTTGGGCAGTCTCAAGCCTCTGGTGGTAGGCTCGGAAGTATTGAGTTTTGGACATATCTGCAGGAAGACCTTCCAGTCCTACCCATCGCTCGAAGCATTCCCAAGGAGTCCGTCTCTCGGCACCGGAGGTGAAGAGTGATGGCGGAGTAAGACAGCTGGAAATTAGAGACCAGTTGTAAGAGTACTCCTTGACCAAGCGTCGGAGTTCATCATCCTCAGCGTAAGTCCATTGCGAGGACGAACGCGATTCAAAGAAACCAACAGATGGCATGGGATGTTCAGTCGGAGGCCGGAATTGATGACCAGGGTGAATGCGATCACGGATGGGTTTGTTCTCTGGTCGGAACAGCGCAACGTTTGTCTGCTCTGGTGCCAATTCGGTGATCCTATTGTCAGAATCACTGCCGTACTGGGAGTAGTCATATCGGCTCCGTTTGCGAGGATGATCATCATCATGGAAGGTAATCTTCGCCGATGCAAATTTGGACACCGGTAGTAGTTCCGTCTTCCAAACTGTGTCAGGGGACACTTTGAATGCCGGTGCGTTCGTTCCGGGGGCGATCTGGAGTGGTCCATACATCGGCAGTTCGTCTAATAGCTTTTCGGCGGCAGGGGTCATGTCAATTGAGAAGTTGAACTCATCTGAGCCCAACGAGAAAATAGCAGCAGGAGCGACTGTGTCGTGGATATCGTGTCGAGGCTCATCGTTGAACCCATCACTGACTGATTCCTCCTCGGCTGATGGGATGAGCTCCGGGGTGGGATGACAAACACCGAACACTTCATCGTTAACCTCGTCGGATGGTGGGCTGAGACCCACCTTAGAGGGATCTTTTTCTGCCAGAGTTGACGTTGGAATCTTTACTTGGACACGAAGTAAGGTCCGATGTTCCACGTCGCTGTTGACATATTCTGCGCACCAATCGGCACAACTCTTTGCAGCAGCAATCTTCCACTTTCTCTCCTCCCGGAAGTCGGTTCGCATCCACTTCATGTGATCTAAAACAACGTCCCAGTGTGTTCCCTGGCGGGGAGGTTCAACAGAGCGTTTTAATTGTCGCAATGGCCATCGGTTGGCATTTTGAAGAGCATAGATTCGCCGGAGAGTACGGCAATCCATCTGTTCTTGATATTCAAGCAAATGATTGCTAGTACTCAAAGTCTTGTGCGCGGATGCCAGCAGAGTATTGAGGTTCGTTCCCCGTGGAGGAGCGTACGCTCTGTTCAAGAATAATGTGAAAAGATAGTCTTGCTCCTCATTCAGCTTGGCAACTGCATCCATGTCTCGGTGCGTCAAGTCCATATCGGCTTTCTCCTGCTGAGCTGGCTGCTTAGGAAACACAACAGTCGAGAGTCGACTTCTCTCCTTCTCCCGCTCCTTCCGATCTTTGAAGCGCATTCTTGCGACAGAATCAGGAGAGCCTTGATCAGATGGGGTAGCTGGGTGGCTTCTATCATGAGCGACACTCTTAGGGGTTTCTCCGAGGATCTCGGAAACAGACTTGTGTCGGATAGCTCCTGATGATACCCGAGTGGTCATGCGCTCCGGTTGCGCCGAGCCAGGTTGAGTAGGTGGGATAGAAAGCTTTTTGGCCGTGGGAGTCTCGACAGCTGAATCTGCAGCGGCTTCAGCTTGTGCGGTTGGTGATAACGAGTCCCGCACAGTCATCTCGGGTTCTTGTGGGAGTTTTGCTTCAGAAGGGACGGGGGGCGGGGCCTGTTCCTGGTCGATATCCATGCGATCTGTATTGGCCCCGGTGTCCACGCTCTCCAAAATCACCTGTTTCGATGTAGATAGGTCGGCAATCTCATCATTAAAGGGTTGCTCGGGTTTCGACTGAGCTTCTTCGAGGCGCAATTGCTCGTCTGGCGTCAAGGGAACCAAGCTCGGCCGGGCATGGGCAGATCGGTCATGCTTGTGTTTTGGGCGTTCAATTGTCTCAGCATCCTCAGTCACCTCTTCTGCGGGGCTTGTGTCAGGTGATGCAGCAACTGGAACGGGTGTATTATTATTGTAGGGGTCAATGGAGGAGGCGGGTGATGGTGGTTGTTCGTGTTTCTTTCGGAGAGGGTCGG